TTTTTTTTTTTTTTTTTTTTTTTTTTTTTTTTTTTTTTTTTTTTTTTTTAAATAAAATATTGTTTGTTGTTTTTTTTTTTTACTTATTATTTCCCACCCCCTTTTTTTCATATGTCTATAATTTTTCTTTGTTTTATTCTTCATTTTGAACTTATCTAATGAGTGCTGTTTACTTGCAGCTTAAGCGCAATAAATGTTACTTATTGTTTTTCTTAACTTTCTTAGTGTTTTCTTGTATTTATTTATTTATTATATATATATATATATATATAAGGGTTGCTCAAATAAAAGTGAGCACATGTGTCTGCGCCAGAAGTACAGCAGCGATAACAGCGTGACCATTCGGGAATTATAAAGGAAGGCAGGAGAAGTGCATCGCACTTTGCGTATAGTTTATTAATAAGTTTCCGTGAAAGTATTTAAAGTGAATGCAAATTTGCACTAAGGTTGCACACATCCAGAATAGAATAACTAACAAAAGTATGGTTTTTGGGGTAGAAGATTTTGAAACGTTGCTTTACTCAGACAGACTATTGATAAAGAGAAGCAATTCTTTTAATACCATGTTCTTTTAATAAGCAGGGATTCGATGGAAAACACTGTGTTTGCTCGCACATGTCTATAAAGATTTTATATGGATGTCCGACCTTTCCGAAAACTTTTATACTTTTGGTCCCAGACCGTGCTACTCATAATCACCAATCAACACTTTTTATCAGTAAAAATCTGACAAATGTAGGTTGTTCAATTTTCAACACTTGAAATTTACATAACCTTAAAATGCTCTCACCCTAAATGGTTATAGGCATTACGTAATCTATGATGCTCTCCTAATTTTCTTCATAATTCTGAATAATGACACAGCTATCACTGCTATGCTCTGCAAAAAATTAAAGATTTCTGTAACTTTCCAACAGTTCATTTCCGCCCTTTAAAGTTACAAACACCTGCTATAAAATTATATCTCAATCTGTCAACACGTCGCACAGATTTTTGGTGCTTAGATAAAACCTTTAATTATAAAAACAAACTTTATTTATAAGGTACAGATTTTTCTGTTTCTGTAAGGTACAGTTTGATATCTAAACCCACAACATGCGTGACATTTTGATATTTCTCTTCTCCAACCAAAATGATTTCTTCTGGATGTTATGGGAAGAAATATTTCATGTATGCAATAAGTTGATGTGTTACCGGAAATGTTTTCCTTCAAGTAAATGGTATGGAGCCGTGGTGGCTCTTGTGATTGAGCGCTCGCCTTCCAATGAGCTGCCCACAAGTTTGAATCTCAGTGATCGATTGATATGAATGGTTGATAAGAATTCTGTATATCGATATGAAACTTTTCTATATGAATTCTGCGTCCGGTTCACACTCACAATGCTGACGTAAAATATTCCCAGTGGTAAACAGATCTTAGGTTAGAGTCATATTGCTGTCGGGTAAATCATGGGAGGTTTTCGTAGTTTTCCTCTTCATGTCACACAAAAGTTTAGTTCCATCAAAAAGTCCTCCATAAAAGATAGTTCTCTCATTGCGTGATCTAGTAGTTGCTTTTTTTCCGGGTTGGGTTCAAATTACAAAGCTACGGAATCGAACATTGGTTATCGTATACTCAGAATTATGTCGACTGTTCAACGCCAGTCATGAAATAAAATAACGTGAATAGCATTGATGCGCCTGCATCTAAAATTACATAAACCTCTCGTTGGTAAGGTGCACATTCTTTTCCATGGCGGTTACAGCATGCTTGTTGCAGAGCAAAATGTCCTTACTTTGATCCCAACCGAATGACAATGAAAAATATCCTCAACTCTTTACATTGCTCTCAATGCGCAATGAACACGCATAACTCTCTCCTTTCCTAACAGTTAGGAGTACTACACTACATCGTCTCGTCTCCTCGTCTCACGATGCGCAGCGACACGACAAATCTAACCTCTCAGGTAACAATAAACGTCAATTTTTTTGAGATCACACGCTTCATACGTAATCATGCATTTCCACTCTTCATTTATTGTCTCTTATATATAGAATAATATTTCCTTTTCTTGTTTTTTTCCCTTTATTTAGCATTCTGAAAAATGTTATGTCGCAGTGCTACAAAAGTGCCATGTCGGGTTCTTGTCGTGAACAGAAAGACATGTCCATTTTGGTGGGTGGTATGATCAGTTCCTTCTTCACACCTTATGGCTGTATTGGCGATCAGAGTACCGTCAGCAGCATCGAACTTCATTCATCTTCGATGCATATTATATTTAACAAATATTTACTCTATGCGTGTGTGATTCTTTTAAAATTTTATTGGACAGCTTGATTACTTTTGCAATATGTAATAGCAAAATAAAGGTAAATTTTCATAACTGCATCTTCTTTTAATGACTTAAACTCAGTTCACTATTGCATGCAAAATCATTTACGTAAAACTAGTCAACTTTGTCAAGATTTAGAAACTTCATTTTTAATGCTTCTAGAAGGAAGTAAAATGGAGAGTAGTTGTCTTTCCCATAGTTATGATCCGAGCAGATGTACAATAGAAGGAAATAATCTACTTAATAGTAAATTTTAGGAACGTATCAAAGCATCAGAAATCATATACAAAACCTCTACCTTTTATTCCTATTAAAAAATATTACTGTTACTGTACAGTAAGTCAAAGAAAAGATAATTCTCAGAATAACTTTTCGCTTAATATTTGAATTTCATTACACAAAAAGAAGTTAAACTTGATAATTCAAAGAGATGACTTCAAATATGCTTGATATTATGTGCGGTATTTAATTAATGTAAGAAATCAGACTCAAAAATATACTTTTCCTGAATCCTGAATAAAAATACCCTATTTAAGACAGATTTGCATTTTTGATTTTCAAAATATGGAGGTAGTCGCAATATGGTTTCTAAAGTGTGGGCATGAAAATTATCGAAAGGTAGATCTCCTTAAAATTAATTTCACTGTTTGTTTATTTTCTTTAATCTCGGTAATTTTTTAAGCGAATCAAAATATTTTTCTTGTTTGGTTTTCCTTTTGATATCTGCTCCCGGTGTTGTTGCTATTTGCTAATGAAAATGAGAGAAAGTTGCTCTACACAAATAAATTTTATTTTTCTTTCGTTGTAAAATTTCATCAATAAAATGAACTGCAATGAGTATTTTTTTCCTTTTAATAGTTTATTTATAGACATCTGGAGATTTGGAGTAAACCAAAACAAGGCAATTTATTTAATGTAATTAAATACTTGAAACTTGCAGCGTCGACAACAAAAATGTGAATATAATAATGGGTAATATAATTTTTGCGAAGAATTTTTTATGCCCAGCTCATGCTTGTGCAAAATTTTATTCATACGCAATAAAAAATATAGAATCATATTATAATTAAGAAACATAAAATAAGCATTTAGAGCAATGCGTTTTATGTGAATATTTATGGTTATGCTCGCTTCAATAGCTTAGAAAAGTTTCCCAAGTGTATTTCCCACAGCAACTTCCTTAACAACTTTTTCTCAGCAAAATTTTTTTGTAGAATTCTTGTACTTCGTGGAGTTAAAATTCTACGAAATTTTACTTTTCATAAAATTACATTTCAGTTTCAAATATCTAAAGCAATATAACTCTAAAACAAAATACATGCTTTAGTGTTTCTTCGGATGACAACAGAATTGATATGAGATTCTGGAATACAACTGGGATTTTAGATCTGGAAAAAAACTGAAAGCAATTTCCTTTACGAAAAGTAGTCTTAAAAATTTTAGAGACGTCGAAATATAGAAGGTAAATTTAAGTTTATCTAGTTAAAATAGGGATTGCAAAGGATTTGTTTTAGCTAAAAGAGTTTTCACCGTTTCCGTTTTTAAATACCTAATAATGGGTTTGTAACCAATTTCAGTCGGTTTCAGCCCAAGGATGATACAGTCGGATATATTTTAATAATGTTTATTAATTTTACCAGGTAGCATAGTAATTTAAATCTAAATTTTAATTTCAATATTTAAAAAATAAAAAAAAAGATGTGTTTTATCGAAGATTGGTAAAAAATACATTGATTATTGATTTAATCCATTTTTTAACATTGCTTTATTAATAGAATAATGTTTTTTTTTCAGAAATATCTTTACCAATAAGAAAATTTAAACCGAATGTTTTTCTCCATACAAAACCAACAACCACAGAACTTCATTTGTAAAAAAATTTAACATTATACATAAACTAAGCTAGACGAGACTAGATGAACTAGATAAAAATACTCTGCACCGAATGAGCAAGTGAAGCGAGTTTGAAATGGGAAGCAACCCGAAAGTAGGTCCTTTCATTTTCGGCAGATCATCGAAGAGGGGATGAGATCTTATAAGTGTAATACAATCTTAAATCGCATTATAAGATACACCAAATATTTGCAGCTTTAAAAACTTAGCCAAGTAACTCCCTGAGTTTGTGTTAATTCATTAATCTGAATTTTTGTGAAAACTTTATTCTAGTTTAAGCTTTGCAACAAGTTTGAGTTTGAAATCTTTAAATAAAAATAGGTATTAAATTGGTTGTTGAAAAAACTGTTATCAAAGGTTTCTAATTTGATTTTTAAATTAAACTTAAATAAACTTCTTAAATAAAAAAAATATGCAAACGTTTCCTTTCGTTAAAAATGCTTGGTAAAATTAATTTGCCTACTAATACCACTATTTTGAGTTTTCTACTATTCTAATGATAATCGCATTTTTTTTAATAATTCATAGAAAATGCTGTCAATTATTTTAAATTTATAATGCAAAAATTTTTCGAATTCCTTAGAAGGGCACAAACGTCAAACAACGTAAATTTATGTAACCAAATTTTAAAAGAAAAACCAACAGAAAATACATATTTCTTAAAAAAAATACATCCAATGCAATTCCTTTGAGGTGCTTGTTGGATTAGAACTTTTTTTCCCGAGGTTCCATTCCCTGATATTAATGCTTCTTTTGTGACAAACTTCAAACTTATTTTTTTTCTTATAAATTAAATTTCCTATGTTATCTTTTCTTTGCAAAGCAGCTTGTAAAATTTCTTTATTGTTTGTCAGTTTCTATGTTTTTGAAGTTGTCATCTCTTTCTACACTGATAGAAGTTCCGAATTAAATTACGATATAAAGTACCGGACTTCAAGTGCATCATCCGTAAAACTAATTTCACCGAAAAATTTATTTTTATCGTAAAATATTATGCTTTAGTTTTTACATTAATATTTAGTTACTTAGAGTGATTCAGTGATTTTACGATGATTATCAAATTATCATTTCAAAAATTACGTTTTCTTGATTTTGTGATCCATTACATGTTTCGGTTAAAAAGGATTTTTTTACATTGTACTTTTTCTACAGTAATAAATTTTTGTTTATTAACAGCAACAAAAAAAAACAAATTATAATTTGTTTTATTTTGCTGTCTATAAACAAAGAGCAACGACTTCTTCTTTCAATTCACAGTAAAAGTATGAAAGTCGGAAATTAAATCAATGAAAGTCAAGACTTTTTTAGTCTTCAAGCAATGAATTTGAATTGTTGTATTTTCTATAGAAAAAATAAATTAAAAACATAATGTTATATAAAATTATTTTCATCAAATGAAACTTTTCTAGTTTTTAAACAAATAACGCTTGAAGACTATATGCTTTTTTTTAAAATTCTACAAGAAAAGGAAAGGAAATTAAAATAAAATAATTATTAAAGTTTATAGCCTGAAGATTTGAGTTTAACAATTTTCTGATTTAAAGACGAATGGACTTTGAACTTATTTTTTGATACTTAAGTTCAAAGGTATTAAATGATTAATTTCAGAGATATAAAATGCTAAGATTTCAGAAAATATTTCAGTATAAGAAACCAATGAAAAGCTTTTTATAAGCAACTTTTCAGGAGTAAATAAATCTCTTTGGTTGTATCTGCATCAATAAAGAATTATAAGAACTTACGATTAACTAAATAGTTTTATAGAAAACCTTAGAGCTGTTAAAGTGAATTTTGTTGAAGTTAGAGACGTTGCTTAAATTGAATATGAGTATAAAAGTTTAAAGGAATTCTGTGTACATTGAACAATAAATTTATTTTATGACCAAGATCATATATTATGTTCAAATAATATATAATTGATGATTATAAAAGTTTAGACTCTTGAATTAAATGAAGATATAGCATAAAAAAAGTATAACAAAAATAATGTAAAGTAGAAATTATCAACAGTGACAAAATTATTCATTAATATTTTGGAGGGATTCATGCGCTTCTAAATACTATTTTTTTTCTATAAACATGGATTATGTAAAATCAATTGAAATTATTGATGTAAAATAAAAGTTGTGTGCTACATTCAATTCCCTCAAGAAAATTGCGATTGTAGATAATTTTAACTATCAGGATTTGAACACTACTATAGATATATATTTATTTAATTTTTCTATTAGCGAATTAGAATTTTAAAATCTCTCGAAAGGGCAACAAGTATAAAAAATGAAGTTGTGTGTCAAATCAACAACATATTTAGCCAAACAGCGATATATATATATATATATATATACTAAATTTACTATTGCTAAATCAAAAAAAAAATAATGATAACAAATAAATAATAATAAAAAACAACGAATGAGTATTGTACTTAGTACCAATTTTTCAGCCTAATATGTAACTAGGCTGAAAGAGACGCATACCGAGATATCAACTAGCGTTACAAATAATTATAAATTTTAGATACATTAGCAATTAGTTTCGAGTATTTTAGCTGAGATGAAAAATTTTGTCTATCACGAATTAATATAATGGAAGAAAAGAATTAAAATTGCATGCAATGTGTCTATTCAAAGGGTAAACTCATGCTCGTAATAATGTATGTTTTGTTCTCTTAAGATGATGGAAATCTGTATTACACTCCGTGCTATATTTCCATATTAGTACTTGAAAATCCTATCGTTCATCAAAAGTTATTTAGGCTGTTAATTATGAAGACCCAGAAAAGCTAGTATATGCAAGTGTTTGCAAACAATAGAAAAATAAAATAAGTAGTGTAATGCAATGCGGTCGGTAGCACCGGTACGGATGGTGGCAAATGTCACTGACGGGGCTAATATCTCCCAATACTTGATCCAGGAGTTCCCTTGTCTTCCGGATCGGTTTCAAAATAACAAAGGATAACATTGGTAGTCATAAACCCAAAAAATTGGTTCCTCTGTTCAATGACGGTAGCAAAAAAAGTCAGAGCGGTGGTGGCTCAGGGGATAGAGCACTCGCATTCCTATGAGTTAAACCGGGTTCGAATTGCAACGATGGTTGATAGATACGACTTCTGCACCCAGTTCGCACTGACAACAGTGTTGACGTAAAATATCCTCAGC